CTCCTTCTCCTCTTCCTCGTCCTCGTCCTCGTCCTCGTCCTCGTTCTCCTCCTCCTCCTCCTCCTCCTCCTCCTCCTTCTTCTCTTCCTCCTACTCCTCTTTCTCCTCCTCCTCCTCCTCATCCTCCTCCTCCTCCTCCTCCTCCTCCTCCTCCTCCTCGTCCGTCTCCTCTCCTCCTCCTCCTCCTCCTCCTCCTCCTCCTCGTCCTCCTCCTCGTCCTCCTCCTCCTCTTCGCTGCCCCCGAGGAGGCGGCGGGGATCCCCCCCGCACGCGCGCCTGTGCCTGCGCACTGCCGCGGCCGCCCGCCCCGCTGGGTGCGAGAACTCGGTGGAGCCCCCGCACGCCTCCCACACGGCGTCCTCGGCCAGGGGGCACTGCGTCACGGCCTGCCTCACGACCCTGAGCCCGGGGGGCTGGCCCGACAGTGGAGGCCTCCCAGAGGAGCGGTGAGGATGAGGATGAGGAGGAGGATGAGGAGGAGGAGGAGGAGGAGGAGGGGAAGAAAGAGGATGAGCATGAGGAAGAGGAGGAGGAGGAGAAGGAGCAGGATGAGGAGGAGGAGGAGGAGAGGAGAGGAGGAGGAGGAGGAGGAGGAGGAGGAGGAGGAGGAGGAGGAGGAGGAGGAGGATAATAAGGGGTCTTACAGTCCGACCTAGGCCAGAAGAGCATCCCTCAAGAACACGATGCCCTCCTTCGGCCAAGACAAACAGAACATCCAAAAGCACCCTCCCCAAAGCGCACAACAACCAACCGACAATGACGAGGAACATTTGGGTGCCCCCCCCCCGAACCGACGTCGATCTCATACCTCGATCCGACTGTATGCGATATGGCATAGCGACCTAACGTGGCGGCTTACGTGGGCCGCCACCGGGGTACGCCGCATTGGAGAGGAGGGCGCCGCGATACCTTACGCTGGCAGCTTACGGGCCAATGTCGGCGCAGACGACCCTGCATCCTTGTGTCGCTCAAATGGGGTCCGAGTTGATGGGGCCGGAGGATCGCACTGCACCGCCAATGCAACGCCGATGCATCGGCGATGCGGCCCGATCCTCCGAACCCACGTATCCTGGCATTCTGGCCTGATCCGGGAAACCTCGGGACAGTAGGATAACGATCAAGGCAAGCCCGGATACGTAGTCACGCGCCCCTGGCCTAAGAGGCGCGGGAGGCACAGTGGCCTCGACTTCTGGCGGGCCCACGAAGCCGGGTCCGCCTCTACATCAGCACCCGTTGGCACGCACGCGGCCACGGGCCAGGAGGAGGAGGAGGAGGAGGAGGAGGAGGAGGAGGAGGAGGAGGAGGAGGAGGAAGGAGGAGGGAGGGAGGAAGGAGGGAGGAGGAGGGGGGGGGGAGGGGGGAGGGGGGAGGAGGGGGAGGAGGGGAGGAGGGGGGAGGAGGGAGGAGGAGGAGGGAGGGAGGAGGAGGAGGAGGTTTTTGCAATGCGCGGCAGCCAGGCGCACACCCTATTCGCGAGAGCAAAAAGGCCGGGCGACAGGCTGGCAAACAAAACCTGCGGGCTAAACACCCGCCGAGGGCCACTCGCGGACCCCAGGCCTGGGAGGGAGGCCCTTGCGCAGCCGCATCAGGGCAGTCAGCTGCGCCTTAGTCAGCGCGAGGGGTCCGTACCTCGCCGCCTCGCACTCCTCCAGAAGAAGCGAGGGCCTGGAGTCCGCGTAGCGCCCGCAGGTGCTGCAGAACGTGATGGCGCCCTTGCGCCACAAAAAGTGAGAGGCATGCGGCACATGTCCAGCGATGCCAGTGCCAGGAGGCAGACGAGATGGGGGATCAGGCATCCCCAGAGACCGAAAGAGTTGCTCGTCGATGGGCGGCAGCCCCTCGTACGAGCGCGGCAGCCTGACGCAGACCCGAGGCGCGGGAGCAGTGTCCTCCGCCTCTGGCTCTGCCGCAGGCTCGAGAGGCAACACACCGTCCCCCCCCCCGTCCTCGACCGCCCCGTCCCCCTCCCTCAGCTGGCCTCGCTGCTGCAGCTCCACGCGGCAGGGAGGCGAGCAAGGCGACGGCCGCAGGGCCGAGCACGAAGAAAGCAGGAGGTGGAGGGCGCGGCTCTGAGTGCGCCTGACCGATCGGCCACAGCTCTTGCAGCACCAGCCGATAGCGGTCGGCACAAAGGCATGCTGGGAACGGGCCGCGAAGCCAGAAAGCAGCTCCTCCCTCCTCTGAGCCCTAGAAACCTTCGGTTTGATGACCTCACGGCCAGGGCTCTTGGGGGCGGAGGCGGCGGCAGCACAGAGCGTAGCATTGCGGAGCAGGATGGCCTCGGCCTGCTCCACCAAATCCAAAGCGCGACGCGCTACATTAGGACCAAGCTGGGCCTCCTCAGACCGCTCCTCGGCGAGCCCGTCGGCCACTGCATTGAGAAAGATAGCCTCGGGCAGCACAGTGTGGCCTAGACGCGCAAACTTCGCGGGGTCCTCGGCTAGATGCGAGGGCACGTGCAGGAGCGCGAAGCGGCCCACGCGGACGTCAAGCAGCGAAAAAAGATCGTGCCAGAGGTCCGCGTGCTCGAGCTTGTAGCAGTGGCGGCGTCCGCGTGCTATCGCATTCACGTGATTCACGTGGTCGGAATACAGCTTGAAATCGGCAGCAGGGTGGACGGCCCTGACGCACTCCACAATGGCCAGGAGCTCAGCACGAGGCACCGTTTGCACAGGGCCGTCCACCAAGCCCGTGCAGCCAGAATCCCAGTCCAGACCCTGGCCGTCGCCAAGGCGGGCAAAGCTCCACGCCACGCGCCGTAGCAAGGGCTGAGACGACCAGGCTCCACCTGCACCGTCGGTGGCGTAGATCCCCCCTGGCAGCGCCCCGACGCCGCATCGCAGCCACCGATGGCCACGCTCGTCGGGGGGGGGCGGGATGTTCAGCCAGGCAAGGGGCACAAGCCCGCGGCACCAGAAGACAGGGGCGCTGTCGATCTCCTCCAACGCCTGACTGCGAAGATGGTTGGAGGAGACCACGGCCTCTGGAGGGGGAGGCACACCAACCGAGAGCGCCCAGTCCTTCTCCATGAAATTGCACATGCATTCCCAGAAACGATGACGGCTAGATTCACGGGAGCGATGGCAGCGCTGGCACAGGTCGTCCGTGCGGTAGCCTGCCTGGTGACGACGCTCCTCCGTCCAGTATCCTCCGCAGGCGACTAGGCGAACGAGGCTGGCAAGACTGTGCTGGGACTCCTTCTCCAGCCGTTCCGCCAGTGCAGGCACATGCTGCCACCAAACGCCACCCTCCGCCCCTCCCCCGTCAAGATGCTTGGCCGCCTGTCGCCAAGCCGCATTCTCAGCGGTCTGCTCCAGAGCCGCGAGGAGGCTGGTGACGGGGGCGACGGAGGTGGCGAAGAGCTCCCACTCCTGCCCGTCTGGCTCGACCAACTTGGACAGGGACGGGCACTGCCAGCCAGCTGCAATGACAGAGGCCTGAAAGGCTGAGAGCGGGCCGCGCACGAAGTTCCAGCCACGCGCCACCCGCTTCAGGGACGCGTCCCATCCTCGCTGGACCTTCGCAGCGAGGCCGTCCTCTCCAAGGACTCGAGAGTAAAAAGCTCCTGCGATGTGCCGCAGGTACCAGATGGGCGGGTCGCGCCGCGCCCCAAAACTGATGCGAATGGCCACAGTAGCGCACGTGCCGCGCTGAGGGCACTTGCTGGCGAGCCTCGCCTGACCACGCAGCTGCTTCAGCATGGTCGGCGCCAGCCCGTGCACCTCGGGCGCCCACACCGACTTCGGCAGGGCATTGGAGACGAAGAGGCGTGAGGCTCGCGGCGCTGACCTGACCAGACCCGAGATCTTGAGGGCGGCGCGCCTGCCCTTCATGAAACGCTTCTTGCGCACCTTCACAGAACGCGAGGCACCGAAAGATGTGTCGTGGCCGAGGTCGCGGGCAACACGAACAGTCCTGAGGCCACCAGCCCCGACCTCGGCCGCTGACGCCCACGCGGGCAGCAAGGCACGGATGGCAGCAGAGGAGGCCATGAGGCCACACTTCCCTAGGGAAAACTCGCATCGCAACCTGCGCAGGCCCGTAAAGAGGGCGCGCAGCACCACAGGAAAGGCCAAGCTGAGCGAGTGCTCAGTGCCGAAAAGACGGAAGGCGAGGTCGTCGATCCACTCCCTCAGGCGCAACCCTGGCACCAAAGAGTGAGCCGCCTTCAGCGGGGCGTGCAGGTAGGCACGCGCCTGCGAGACAGCTTGGCCACAGCCAGCGAGGATGCCTCCGCCAGGCAAGATACCTGTGTGCACCTGGCGCTGGAGGGTGAGGAGTCGAGGACCGAGGTAGACGTCGAGGGCGAGAGCGAGGAGGCGGAGAGGGTAGCCTAAATCCTGGGCAGCCGCCGCCAAGTCAGGCAGAGACACCAGGTCGTAAAACTTCCGAAGGTCGAGCAGTCCACCCGCAACCTCGAAGCCTCCCAGGAGCGCAAGCTCCCCCTCCAGCTCGTCCAACCACCCAGCCAGGTCGGCCGATCCACCCACAGTCTTGTCCCAGGCCCCGTGCTGGTCACGGTCCCAGGCGCCTATCTCAGGCTTCCTGATGCGGCATAGCAGCACGTAACTGAAATTGAGCAGGGCGATGGGCCTCAGGCCTCCATCCTCCTTATCCAGCAAGGCGATGAGGTTGAACAACTCTTGAAAGGGCACTGTGGCCTCGCGCTCGATGGCCGTCAGAAGGGCCGCGAGCGCAGCGATAGCAGCAAGCGGCGCATCCTTGACCAGGCGAGGCGGCATCATGTCAATCCCCCTCCCCCGACGATCAGGAACGGTCTTTAGCGCCCCCCTCACCTGGTCAGGAGTGACAGGCTCGAAGCAGTCTGACGAAAGAGCCGCACGGCGGATCCTCGCGAGGGCCTCCAAAGCCTCGGGCCGCGAGTGCTTGCACCAGATTGCGTGCCACGCAGCGCCTTCCGCCTCTAGCACGGCAGCGGGCGTGGAGGCTGGCTCTCCGTCCCAGACAGGCTCGGCGCGGCAGAAGGCGGGGGGATCGCGGAGGAGCCTATGGGCTTTGCTGGCAGAACCCGCCAAAGCGTCGGACAACCATGAACGCCAGCGCGCGCGGGCCGCCGCAGCCGCGCGCTGGGCAGCCTGGACTCCCTGCTCCTTAGCCTCCTCCGCGATCTGCTGAAGGCTGTCGAGCGACAGCGAGCGAAGCTGGCGGAGCCGAGAGATCCAACGCTCAAGGATCGCTCCCTCCACCGCGTCGTTCGGATCAAAAGGCGGGGGCAGCTGCAGGGCCTCAAGCCCACGCATCGTGCTCCAGAACTGCTCACCACAGCCGGCGCGCGGAGTAGATGCCTCGGATGGGTCCGCCTCGGGATCAGCCAAACGCAACAGCAAGGATGCCTGCACAGCGAGGGCCTGCCAAAAACGGGCATGGCGGTCAGCGAG